TTAAAAGATGGTTATCGTTTGACGTATTAACCAATCAACGTAACAACAGCCTAGTTTCACCTGTCGGTTGCAGCTGAAGTTAGAAAAGAAGACTCATAACTTAATGTAATTTTTGAAAAGCGGTTTGTAGTATATTTTATCTAAGTCGGTCTATACCTCTAAAAACAAAGAGAACTTGAATAATATTCCAGAAAACAAAGAATCATCAAAATTATTTCAAAGGGAAACGCTCTGAGTAAATGATGACCAGGCTAAAAGAGCACACAAAGTATCTATATAAAAAATAACACAAGCAGAGGTACATTTCTGCAACTAGAAGCAAGAAAACGTCTCCACTGTTTTCTTCTACAGATTCCCACTGCATCAGACATGATTGAACGTCTGCCGTCGTCAATGTGCGAAGGAAGTAAAGCCTCCCCCTCCCTCCATCATAGACAGCTTTTTTTCACAAGAGAGAGAGTTTGCTTTAAGATCTTAAGTTTTTTTTTGTGAAAGTATTTGTCATAAGAATATAAAGGAAATGCTGAAAGTCGTTTTGTTTAACACTTTTCTATAATTAGCACCGCTTACCTAACAAAGTGCTTATTGGGTAGTATTAACAAAATAAAAATCAAATTTATTCTTTAAATCCAATTTATTCATGACGTGATTAACATTTGAGTTGGGCGTGGCCTAGTTGTTAGTGTGCCGAGGTGCGAGGCGAAGAGTCCTGGGTTCGAGACATGATGTCGATAATCACGCTTCTCACTTTTAGCTGTAGGTGCTTTATAAAAGCGTCAATCTCATTATATGGTTCAATCATCCGAACAGAACCCTTGTGGTAGCAAGTGGCGCTGACTGAGCGTCTTCCCTTTGGCAAATATTTTAAAATCAGGAAGAGCTATACCTGAATACTGGAAAATCCATAACTAGGAAAAGGACTCGAATCCCCGTCGTCGAACATGCTCGTCTTTCAGCCGTGGGGGCATTATAATATGACGACCATTTCCACTGTTCGTTGGTAAAAGAGAGCCCAAGAGTTGGCAGTGGGCGGTGTTGACTAGCTGCCTTCTCTCTAGTCTTTCACTGCTAAATTAGGGACGACTACCTGGAGAGGAGATGGGCGCCTTCAAGTAAATCTACCCGAGAATCACCGATGATTCATTAACAGTAAAAGTGCCCCAACGGTCGTAAGTGGCTTCGAGGGAATTTCTGCTAATTCATTGGATTATCGGGAAATCTTCATTTCTATAGTCCAGTAATCAATCCTCCGCCATTTTCTGTAATGGAGAAGGCGCGCCATATTTGCTTATTTTTTTAAATCTTTTTCTGTTCTTGCTGATTAATTACAGAGGACTGCAATAGTTTTATTGTCTTGAAATTTTTACATGTTCTACAGTAATTCCTGTAAGCTGAATTCGAAAATAGTATCCAATTTTCTCCATCACGTACAGATTTTTCACAAAACGTCGTAACGCAATACATAAAAAGAAAGACCACAACACATAGTTTTGAGACTAACAGACATAGATTTCACACAAAAAATCAGGATGAATGAGGATGCATATTAGTTTGACATCAATGTTCTTCCCTTTTTTCAGTTTGTTTGTATTTTTTTTAACAAACATAATAATAAAAAATGTTCATTGTGGTAAATGAAATAATAATTTGATCTAAGTAAGAGTTTTTCTTCTTCCCGATTTATAAAACATTCTTACGTGATAGAAAAAAAAAGTATTATTTTCGAAATCTACGTAGCCGAATTATGGAAATTTCGTTGTTAAAACCAAAACAACTTTTATAAAGTTTAAATTCGCAGGCCTGTGTTATTGTACGTCTGTAGATTAGGACGTCCGTGATTGCCGCGGGAATGATTTGTTTTTAAATAATGCGGGATAACGTTTTAGGCTATTGAAAAAAGAAAACGAAATTATTATTTTTCGGTATTCCATTTTTCGACTTTGAAAACATTATATGTATGAGAGCGCGTTGTAATACTAAGCCTTTAAAAGTTTTATAGCGCTGCTCTATACGTATTCATCGAAAAATATGTTTATGAATAAAAAATAAGATACTTTTTAGAATGCTCATTATTTTTACTTGTAGAGATGTCACAGCTCTGAACATTTTGTGTTTCATGTTATAACTGCATGGGTGAAGGATAACGGTTGCTTTTAAACCACTGAAACTGTGCTAGAAATCTGAGCCTCACATAATTCAAATGCTTCTTTCTTCCAAGAAACAGAATATGCTACGATTTTCAGCTTTAAATCTTCTCTGATATATATATATATAAAACGACGAATACTTACTTTATGGTTTGATTCAGGTAAAATATCGTTATCTTGAGCATCAAATTCCTCGCAGAGGTCCGTAGGTATTTATTTGAAAAGTGACGGTATGTTTTGATGGATAACATTTTGAAACAGTTTTATTGTTGTCTTTCTTTGAAAACTGAGCTTAGATCCTGGACTGTATTTAATAATGTACCCCTTCCCTGCGTTGTGTGCCAGTTCTTTTTAAATCCAGAGAAATAAGCGCTCTAGAAAAAATTAAAAATGAGTTTGCCAAGTCAAGAAATTTTGAGATTTGAGAACACAAGTAACTGCATGTTACTGTAGTGAGCTTCGATTTAAGCTGCTCAAGATGGAATGTTTTGCCTTTTATGTTTGGAGGTTTAGTAGGTAAAAAGACTTGTAATCCGCTTATTCTATAACATTTTCTCCAAATCTGACCATAGTTAAGGAACGATGAAAGAAAAAAAAAAGATTTTATAAAGTTAAGAGCTCAAAAACGAACCCAAATAGAAACATTCAAAGCCGATATTACTTAGACATAGTGCTTATTTATGTTTAAATTAGTACATGCTTGTCAAGCTTCGAAAACAAAAGTTTGAATAAACATTTACAATGCACTACATACAATCTTGTATGAGTTTGAAAGACTTTCATGATAAGAAAAAATAAACAAGGTACAAAAAAAAAACAGTTCTATTCCCTTTCAAATACCTAGCGTGTTTAGGCTTCAAAATTGTTGTTTTCACGCTGTGAACTCCACGTGCGTTTACATTCTTTGATCAATACCACCAGTTTACCATGTTATCTTAAACCAATAGTGATTGTTCCAACCTTTTCAACATCAACGTAAGAGAATCCTGCTGAGGTGCGTGCGCTGGGAAAACGTTCTATTTGGTGTTTTCTTTGAACCTCTGAATGCTGTTTTCTGTTGCGAAGAGCGCTGTTGTTAGATAATGAACCGTAGAGAAACAGAAATCTCTGTGTATTGACTGGTAAAACGACGGTATTCTTGGAGGTCTGAAGTATTTCCAACTGCTTGTTAGGTCAGTAGTTAAAAGAAGCTCTACAGTAACTATAAAAATAGAGAAACCGGATTGTTAAGGTTGTTTTATGTAAAATGACAACAACTAAATGCACTTGATTAACTATAGAGTTTTTAGAGACTTGAAAAAATAAAGACAAGTCAATGACTCTCTGTAAGTTTGCTTATGAGTTCTCCAGAAGATTCGTTTAAAAGGTTTATTAACTTTTTTACAAAAGCATAACGTTATTATTTCAGCTGGTATTCACTTAATCTCCTTTACTTCTCAAGTTGAAGAATAATATTTATCACGAACTCAGTTTCCATTGTACTTCTTTTAATTATCGACAAAAAGTAATTTAATTACTTTCTGTCATATGTGATGTATTCAATACCAATAGGAGCCCGGCATGGGATGGGAAATGTGCAGCTTCTTGTAAATAATAATAATAATAAAACCCAGAAACAAAGAAAGTTATTGTTTTTAATTTACGCTTTCTCCAGTAGGTTTTAAAAGGTTTATATTTCCTCCTTTGTCTGATATCTCTTGTCATGGAGTGAAACCTAAGATTTACTAAATAATAATAAAAAAAATCTGTCGTTACTTAACTAATTCTTACCCCTAAGCTAGGCCAGGTGGTTAGGGAGCTCGACTCGCAACCTGAGGATCGCGGGTTCGAATTCCCGTCCCACCAAAATGCTCGCCCTTTCAGCCGTGGGGGCGTTATAAAGTGACGGTCAATCCTACTATTCGTTTGTAAAAGAAAAGCCCAAGAGTTGGCGGTGGGTGGTGATGACTAGCTGCCTTGCCTCTAGTCTGTCACTGCTAAATTAGGGACGGCTAGAGCAGATATCCCTCGTGTAGCTTTGCGCGAAATTCAAAACAAACAAACAATAGCAATATTTCATAACAGCTGTGAAGGAATGATTGTGTAGTTGGAAATGCTGTCTTATTCCTGATTATATATTCATGATTCTTACAGTAAGACGTTTGCTGATTGACTTTGAGATTTGCTCAAAAGATTTGTTTGTTTTACTTTGGTCTTGTAATATAAACTGCATACAATTACTCATTTACTCAGCTTTAAGGAACTCATGCAACTAACGTATGACATGGAAATATATGTAACAGCTTATTTGTTTTTCCTAAATACTATGCCCCCAGGGTCTCATCAAAAAATCGGATTTCGATACCTGTTTGGACAGAGCTCAGATAGCCCATTGCGTAGCTTTATGCTTAACAACAACCAAACCAAATCTAAAAATGAAAACTTGTTAACATTATCGATATTGGTAAATCTTCAACTCCTTAAAAAGGTTCAATATTTAACATATATCGCTATATAGAATGAACAGTATAAAAACACTGAGTAATTCAGTTTTATCTCTTGTATTTTTATAACCTAGTGGTAAAGGCAAACTCTTTTTATTGTTTATAGGAACTACAATTTTATATGTTTAATTGGGCATGAAATAAATGATTTTATTTGTGTACTGAGTAATTCAGTTCTATCTCTTGTATTTTTATAACCTAGTGGTAAAGGCAAACTCTTTTTATTGTTTATAGGAACTACAATTTTATATGTTTAATTGGGCATGAAATAAATGATTTTATTTGTGTACTTACAAATATAATGCTTTATTGCGTAAGTTTTAAATTTCTAGCCTTTTTATTAAAGTCATTTCTCCTTTTCCTTTTGCAGGTGAACGATTGACAGAGTACTTTTCACTCCAAATTCATAATATATTAATATCAAGCTGTTTTACCATGGTAACTTGGCTGGCCGTGGCAACTGTTGTGCGGGTAATTGTGTGGACGGTGGTCAGTAGTACAGATGCCAGCTGTCCAGCTGATTGTGACTGTCTAGTTTACCATTCTTTATTTGTCAATGCCAACGTTTACACAGTGAACTGTTCTTCACGAGGACTTCTTGGCTCACCTGAAGCAGTTCCTCTTAATACCCAGTCTTTGCTTATGTCTGGAAATCGGTTCGTGGATCTCCTCAACAAGATCCCTTTTCTCCCGCGTCTCTTAGAGCTGGATCTTTCTAACAATCTCATCAAACAGCTAGGGCGTGGCTCTATCTTTCAAAATGTCACAGAATTGCGTTTTCTTGATTTGTCCTTCAATAAGTTTCGGACCTTGTTTAATAAGGTCTTTCGCGGCATACACAAACTGGAGACTTTGTTCATCACGAATGGCCATCTCAAGTTCATTGACGAACATGTTTTTGATGACATGAACAAGCTTAAACGCCTGAATTTGAAGGGAAATGCGATTCATTCAATGCCAGCGGAGTGGTTTTACGATATGATAAATTTAGAAGTGTTAGAGCTTGATCACAATGAGATTTTCTATCTGAACAGTGGAACATTCGCAGCAGTAAACAATCTTCGCTATCTCAGTTTGTCTCATAACAGAATCCGGGGAATTAACGAAAACGCTTTCGCGGGACTTCGGAATCTGAGAAGTTTACTGCTAGACCACAATCATATAGGCGAAGTACCGTCTGTTGCTCTTCAACCCATGAAACAACTAAAGATTATTCACCTTGATACCAATCCCATTGGCCAGCTCAGCACGGGTGATTTTGTCCAAGTCCCTGTAGAAGAGATTTCTCTGTCGAACACAAGTACACTTCATCTAATAGACCACGGAGCATTTTGGAACTTGCACAACCTGGAAAAAGTTTATCTTTATAATAACCCACTTCTAGAGTATATAGATCCACACGCTTTCATCAATGTCCCTAAATTGAAAGTTCTAAAACTACACAGGAACAATCTCTCAGCTTTAAGTTTTGAGATTGTCAGTCGACGTCCAGCCGTCCAGCTCACTTTACACAGCAACCCACTTCTCTGTGATTGTAACATTCGTTGGATTCGAAAAACTCTCGCACGTGGAAACGATTCATCTATTTTATTTCTGGACTCAGACAAACTACGATGCTCCCAGCCACAGAATCTTCGCCCTTTCTCCATCGAAACACTAGATCTCACTAATATTCCTCCGCAATGTGAACCATTCGTGATTGGACCTCTCAATGAAACGGTGGACGCAAAGATTGGAGAATCACATACCTTTGACTGTCGTGCTTTCGGAATTCCTTCGCCAAAGATGTACTGGATTTTACCCTCTGGAGCTGTGATCAATGCATCACGTGATAACTTTCAGGCTCAGAAAAAACATCCTGGAACTTTAACGCTCTACCACCTAAAACCCAAAAATTCTGGAGTTTACCAGTGTATCGCCGAAAACAACGTAGGTGTTGCTCTTAAGAGTATCACACTCCAAATCGAGAACATAGATATTGGTTTGTTTCCTCAGAGGGTGTCTTCTACATTTGTAACAGTTGTATGGAATGGAACAGCACGGAACAACTTTCCAGAGTACGACATACTTTACAAGATTGACAACCAAGGAGGAGAAGAATACAAAACTGTAACGGTAAGTTACGTATACCGTTCTTACACCATTAACAATCTCGAACCAGATACCAGTTACAAATTCTGCATTGCTGTCAAGGATGAAGAAGAGGGGGACTATCTTCAATTATCCTGTACCCACGTGCAGACAAGAGACGCAAGCTTTATTATGCAAGGTATCTACACTACAAGTAACGTAGCGGTTGCAGTGGTGCTAGGAATTATAGCAGGAATGCTTCTTACCGTCTGTCTGGTTTCCGTGGCAGCCAGGAAGTACAGGCAAAGACATTATGAAACGCCAGAGAAATCACTCATCAGCAACATGGCCCACGCCCCACCAGAGAACCTCAATAGTCCTTTAATGTCACGAGTTGGTTCCTGAATATACGTGGAATACAATCTTTAATGGTGTTTTGTGGTTTCTAGAAACGGTAGTTCATGACATAAACGTACCAATCTTGTTTTGGTAGCTGACTAAAGTCTTTTTGGTGATTTGCCAGGATAGATGAGATCCTGAAAAAAGATCCGACCCTACTGTGTCATGATCAGCGTGTTTCTAAATAATGACGAAACAGTATAATATGAAATGTCATCCCTGGTTAATACTATTTCTCTTAACTTTATTTTTAAGGATTGACTTCGAAAATTGGACAACTTTTCTCCTTAAGACAATGGAGTTGGTTATAAAGAGTTTTTACCCAGTTGATATTTTAAAAGTTATAAGTTACTATAGCTTTCATCCCCATCTTGCACAAACTGGTGTAAGAAATCACTGCACAAAAAGTAGTTGGAAAGTCTTATTGTGATTGGTCTTATATCATCTCTCTTGTAATACATGAACAATGAATTATAGAAGAAGAGAAAATAATGACTTCCCTGTACCATTTTATTTTGGCGTGTAAATAGCGAGGTTGTTGTTTCCAAACGTACAAAACAAGCAGTTCTGGAGAAATATTATTGTTTCTAAGGGAGAATTTTATATAAAGACAGTATTTTCATTGTGAAGAGCAAGATATTTAATAGGAGGAAAGCAATAAATGTAAGATATTAATATTAAAAATGTTTATTCTATTAAAAATAAATAAATAATTAAAAAACACCTTGATTATTTTTCTCTAAGGGACAGTTGTGATGTCCAGATTGATCCATAAAAAAGTGGAGAAGTCGTGTGACGTAATGGGGTGTATGTTGTCTGTTAGCCACTGTAAGCTGTTAAAACTTATAAAATGAAAGCAATATTAAAATTTAGTTTTGTTTAATTTGACTTGTTGATTATAAGTATTTTTTACATGTTACGGCTTTTACAGTAAGGAAGAAAAATAAATTTTATACAGGTACAGGCTTAAATACAGAAACCTTCTTTACTGTTAAAACTTGTGTATTTGAAAATGATCGCACCAACGATCGAAACATCGTACCTGCTTAAAAAATAATTTTCCTTACTGTAAAATTGTAACTTGTAAAAAACAACAACAAAACTTTAATTGGGGGTGTTTGATTTCGAGACTTATCAAAATCTGTTCTGTTCTTAATAAGTAACACGCTGTAGAATCATATGGATTCTTTGTGGTAATATTCATGCTCTGTTCACCTTTTGAAGTTCATAATGAAGGGAGATAAACTTGTATTTTTTTAATATATATTGGAACCAATGCTATTGTCAAACAAAATTAAATATTATTATTTAATTATTAGTATTTAATTACGCTTAGTGATAGCCGATTTAAAAAGTAATGCCAGCGTTGAAAACAAAAGCAAGTTGGTCGGTACTATTAATCAAATATACGTGACCTTAACCATGAGATGAAGTACGTTTCGATACAAAAAAAAAAACATTCATTAAAAACTAACGTAACTTATGAACATTATGGACCTTTATTATTCTTAACTTTGTTTAACGCAACCTGGAGTTTATTATAAGACATTTTCTATAAACTTAAATAAAATCACAACCTATATGTCCAGAATGTAACTTTATTAGCTCAATATTTCGGTAGTCCAGCTTCGTAATACTATTATGGACCTTTATAGCTCAGGGCTAGTGTTCAGTGCATGAACAATATGAATCTTTATAGCTCAGGGCTAGTGTTCAGTGCATGAACAATATGAATCTTTATAGTTCAGTGTTAGTGGTCAATGCATAAACAATATGAATCTTTATAGCTCAGTGCTAGTGTTCAGTGCATGAACAATATGAATCTTTATAGCTCAGGGCTAGTGTTCAGTGCATGAACAATATGAATCTTTATAGCTCAGTGCTAGTGTTCAGTGCATGAACAATATGAATCTTTATAGTTCAATGCTAGTGGTCAATGCATGAACAAT